TCAGCTTCTAAATCCAGATTTTATTTATTTTTAATTCAACCAAACAAAAACTTTTCAGACTTGGTTTGTTCTGAACAGGAGACTATGTTTTCTTTCTTTGAATACTGTCCTCAGAAGACCTTTTCAAAGACTCCAGCCATTACCTTTGTATCTAAGATGGGGAGTTCAGGTGGCATTCCGTGCTGACACTTTTCTCTGCACAGGGGTCTACCTCATACTAGCCATTGGTATAAGCACATTTGGGATTTTCTTTTGTGTTCTGTCAGAACAGTCACAGTCATTATTTGCAGGATATATCAGAGAATGGTCTTTTGTTGTGCTTCATTATTTGTAAGTAACTAATTGTAATAAAGGGTGGTCCTAGAGCTTATCTGGCATTACCTGTAGTTACAAGAAGAGACCAACATGGACGTGTGGATTTTCTTTGCCTTTTGGTTTGTTTGTTTTGGTTTTTGTTTTTTTGTTGTTGGTTTCTTTTTGTGTGTGTGTTCATATGGGCATATGGGATATACTTGACTGAATCCATCTAGTTACACTGTAACCAGCGCTGCACCCATAGTATTGCAGTACATTGTAATTCTAAGACTAATGAATTACTATTGAATGCCTTTTAAATCTGTGTAGTGCCTTTTATAATCAAGTACACATCATGTTCTTGTACCTCTGGTTTTCTGATATGAATAAAGGTTTGTAGAAAGAAGTTTGGCTTTTTACTAGCTGGAAAAACCAAAGAAGCTCCAGATACTTATGTCAGATAATTCTTTTTTTCTTCCTTCTGTTTCAGCAAGAAAGTCAAAGTAATCAAAGTATCTATAAACACATTGCCATAATGTCTTAAATGCTAGCATAAGTCTAACTGTGGGCTCCAAAAGCAATCATTTTGTATAGAGCAATACTTGCTGCATTGCTAGATACATACTCCTTGGCTATCTGCTATACTTCAAAAATGTAAGATCATCTTTAAGTCTCATTGAGACAGGCCAAGGGAGGCTGGCTAGAGGGACATGAATTTAACATTTATAGAGGCACTTCTAATGTTAACATCCCTTTTAAAACATCAGCAATAAATGTTGGAGTAAGGTTTTCCTGGGAGGTTTATAATGGTAAATTAAACGTGTGTCATTTTCTGCTGCTGTTGTGGTCTGGTCTCACTAACTGGGCAGGACTGTTTTAACACTCCACATAGTGTCTGAGTTACAGGTACAGCACTCTGGACTGCCTGGGAATCTTTCATTGCTACCTTTCTCCACATCCATTTGCAGTTTCACCATTGCAACGAAAGAGACCAATGAACAGAGAGAAAATGAAAGAGACTGTTGTATTAGAACACATTACTGTTCCCAAAATATATTGGACAATAAAATTGGTTCCTTGTTTTCATTACGAAGACACTATGGCTTATATTATATTATACAAATGAGACCATTCTTTTAACAATGACTGTAATGAGGATGATGTACTGAAAACCTTAGGTTGTTCATCTGACAGCATCAATATTGAAATTTTATATATTTTTTCTAATAGCATTTTATTAAATGAAAGTTTGCATTTAAAGCACAAAGATTTCTTTAATTTCAATCTGCTAATCAAAAATAACACATCAGTAGGAGTTTTACAGATGTTATATTGCTGGGCAGAAGAGGGCTACTTGCAGTGTAGCTTGAATTACCTTAGTAATGTGGCATTTCTACATTATGGTGGATATAAAAATAATTTTCCTAAATTAAGGGATGAAATTTTGAGGATAGAACTTAATTATTCTCTTTTAAAGATGTTTAACTGTTTAAGATGATGCTTATTTTTCCACAGATGGCCAATAGGATTTGTGAAGAAAATTAGGTTACCAAGTGGGAAGTGCTGGGAAACAAAGAAAAATGTCAGGATGGTTTGCGGTGTGCGTAGGATTCAAGTGGCTGTAGTCATTGAGAGCATGATGTTAGACTAATGTTTGGAGGTTATTGTTTTGGGCATATCATCCTTTGCTTTATTTTTGTGATGTGATGGAGTAGAATTTATGTGGAAAAAGGTATTCAAGGTTCTCAAAATGTTTGCATTGCTGCTTTCCGTATGGATAGACTGGGTAGGATTTTGTTATTTTAACTGATTTTCACCAGTAAAATATTTACTGTTTGGTGACTGATGTGTCTACCACAGTGTTGATGTCTGAACAATTTTAACCTCTCTTTTCACTGCACTTGGCCCAAGTAATGAAAGGGGTATTATTGCATGTCAGAATTTTTTATACCAATGGGTACACACTTAAAATCAAATAGGGGTATGCATAGGTTTCTGATAAGGAAAATATGCATTCTGTTGTAAAGTTAAATGCATAAGACCTTGTTTTCTTTTAAGAAAAATAACATGATGGCTTAATTCTCCATTCCAGAAGAGCCTTCAGATCTGTCCTCTCTGCTCCAGTTACTCAGGATGCAGACCATACGCAGTTATTATGGGGAGCTCTAACAACCAACAAAACCTTTATCTAAACCTCCATATGGCACATCACTGAAGAATCTAGAAATGTGCACTTTTGTCTTTGGTCATTTCATACAGAAAATACAATTAGACTTGGCTGTCAAACAGATGAAATCTGTCATACTTCTCCTGTAGGAGCTGAACTTGGTCCAGCCCAATAAATACAAAAAAATGCCCATAAAATTGCAGGCAGAGCCTGTGGTTTCAGTGCATGCGGGCTAAGAATCTGTGGAGTCTGGCAGGTGTCACTTTTTGGCTGAACAGCCTGTTTTGTGATCAGTACTGTTTCCCTACTCCCCTACACTAAAAGCCACTGCAATAAAGCAGCAGATGGCTTTGCCACACCTTCCCTCAAAGGGCAGTTTCCTGCAGAAAATGGAGCTCTGTCGCTTTCTTAGGAATAACCTGAAAGTCAACATTTGTCCAAATTGTCTTACTAAAATAACCTTACAAAGTGATTTCTTTTTATTGTTCCTTCTTGTATTTTCATACTTTTAATGTGGCCAACCTGTTTTAGACATGTCAAGAGGAGCAAAAAGCCACAACTCAATCAGAAGTTTTGTAATGTCTTGTTTTCTTGTTCCTGAGATATCGGGAATAGCCCATGTCTCACAGACCTGTTTGTTATTTGTAATCCTTTAGCTGATGCTAGACAGGCTTAATGCCCTCAAGCGAGGAGTCATGGTTAATTATGTGCCAGCAGCTTTGTCTTAGGTTATGTGGAGGGTTTGGGCAGTGTGCAGTTGTGCAGGTTCCTGGTTGTTGAATCCCATCTTTCAAGGATGAGGGCAACAGATGCCCTTTACAGACAGAAAAGGTGAAGAATAAAGCAATTTTGCAGACTAATGATCACCAGTGGTGTGACAGACAGTATATTATTCTTTTCTTTCAGATGATTTCTGACAAAATGCCTTTACACGTGGGGGTGATGATTTTATTTTCAAAAGGGTGCAGCCCTTTCGTTACTGAATTTCTCGGTGCAGAAGTTCCTGCATTATAGTGTCTGCCAAGGGGTTTTGAGGGATTGCCTGTATTTTTCTTGACACATCATTGTATTATGTACTGTAAACCTAACAAGTAGGTGGAATTAACCGATCTTCACTGGTGTAATGACTATGTGTCATGACTTTGTGTCATGACAATATGTCATCTCGATCATGATTTGTGAGGATGAAATCCATTTGGTAAATTGATCCTTTAGGATGACATGTGTCAACATAGCATTATATGCCCTTTTTATTTTTTATTTTTTATGTCCTGTTCTACAAAAATGCTATATGACAGTTAACAACTACTTGAGTTTGTTGGTCTGACTTCTGCTTTCATCTCTCCAGTCATTCTGCTATTGCAGACAGTTCAGGAATTGTGCTGGCTGGTCCCCACGCGTTCATAACTGTGTGTCGTTCGTTAATTGTGTAGAGCCCTGACTCTACCTGAAGGAACAGCACTAGCTGGTAAGTCACTTAAAGATCACATAAAGATGTATTTGCTCTACATCTGCCAAATACACTTGACACTGTTTCTTATCTTACATTATGGCTGCCAGAGCCTGTCTATGTTACACCACTGTGGTGACACATGGGCCCTCTTGGTCATTGTAAGAAGGAGTGTGTTAACAGCCTGTGCTTAACAGGCTTGGGACCATGTTATTTGCAGCCTGCTGGTGATCACAAGGTTGTGCTTGTGCCTTTGTGCATTAGAAGTGTCTTCAGGAGGTGGAGAGCCTTGGACCTTTGTGTGGTGCTGGGAGAACTTTTTCATAGTGCTGCCTCAGGTTTAGCTTACTTTTTGCATTTTGGTCACTTGAATGGACAGCTGCCCATATTTTTAACTCTAGGGCTCAATCTGGTAAAATTTGTTTTTAAAGAACTGGTTTTTAGAGGCTTTCTCAAGCATCAGCTTCACAGCTTATTTTTGAGTAGGCGAGTGTCTGGACTACAGGAAATAGCTGCTACCATTAGGGTCAAAGGGGGAACACTGGCAGTGGAGTGGATGGAGGGACATGAAGTTGCTATTGCTGTCTTAATTCCAAGTATCAAGAGCAGAAGTTTCCTGGGAAAGTAGGAGGTGAAGCATGACTTCTGTCTATAGGTGGTGTGTATACTCAGTGGAAATAAAACTTAAATTTCCAGGTGCTGTTAAGGTTTTCCTAAAACCGTATTCAACAATATGATGAGGGGGGAGAGGGTGTGAATCACATTTTAGAGAGCTTCTTGCATCTCAGTTTCCTTTCCTAGCATTGTGGTTTTGTTCATGGTTATGACAGCACAGTCTTGACTTGTCATCATCTTCACTTGCAACGCTTCTATTCAGTATGAGATGTGTCACTTTGACAGGAGTCCATTCAGGACATTAATAGTGCACCAAGGAGTCTAGGATTAATCTAGAAAGACATATAGAATCCATTTAAGTGCAGTGCATCTCAGATACTAGCATGGTAAAAGTCAAACAATAGCAGAATGCTCTAAGGGGGTTATACATGCAGGTGTAGCTAATTCATGGGCTTTGTCTTCTCCTTTTTTCAGCTTCCAATAGTTTGTGCTGAAACTGAAAGGCAGCTCCTGGCAATTATTTGAAATTCTTGCTACTGTATGAAAAAACTTCAGCAAAACTGAGGGCGTGGAGAACAGTTCAACAGCAGATTGAATACAGGGTAAATGTAACTGTACGACTGTCATCAGCAACCTAGGGCACTGAGTCCTGTACCAAGAATTTTAAGCAGCAATGGAATAAACAATAAAATGTCCCTAGAAGTCTTTCTTTGATAAGCTGATAAGTGTGCTTTGCATTCTGCCTTGAAGACTGGTTTCTGTGAGGTTTGTTTGTTTGGGGTTTTTCCCTTCCCACTCCACCCCGCCTTTTTTTATTTTCTTTTTTTCTTTTCCTTTTCCCATTTTTCTCCTCCTTTTTTATTTTTTGTTTTGTTTTAAGGCTATGATTTTAATTTTTTTTTTTTTTTTTACTTGCAGTGAAACTGAGCTGATGGCTTCTTCCCCATCACAAAGACACTGCAAACGATTGCTTTCCTGTGCCTTTATTGCTGCTGGAAACTTTTTTAAAGATTAGTAGTCTGTAGTGCCATTTCAAGATTCAGACATTCATTCCATGCACCATTACCCATGGAAGAAGGAAAAATAGACCATTATAACTGTAAGTGCAATACTCTAAGCTAATGGACAGTATAAGAGATGTGTACTTTGCACATGCACACTATTCGTTTAGAGAGAGTGCATGACTTTGACATGCCTTCCTGTAATGGAAAAGCAGTTAAGAACATAGAGCATTCTTCTACAGAAGAGACAAAATTGCCACCCACCTATCTTATGTGGAAAGAACAAATTGAATAAGGTTTGCAAGAGAGGAATACCTCTAGGCTCAATTAACAGACATTTTGACACTAGAGTTCTAGTGTAAAGTACAGTAGAACCTATTTACTTCTTATTGATGGACAATTAGGATGGAAAGTGTGTGAATAAAATGGAATGTCCTTGCAAAACAGGAGCAAGAAAGCATCTCCTGTGTGATAATTCTAAGTGGTGAAGTGGTGCTCTTGTGGTCTTTCTGCTATAGTCTCCTTTGCTTTTACATGGTGGTTTTTAAGGCAGTAGCGTGAACTTCATACACACATGCATGTGCACACATACAAATTTTTAATATATATATATAAACTTTGTAGTACTGTATATTCACAGATATTTCTTGCTTGAAATGGACTAAAAAGCGGGTCAGTTGATGAATGACTTGGTTTTGGCCACATTCATATCAGCATTCTGTAAGATTTGCTTTCACATCATTAGTCTTTCTTCCCAAAGCTATTTTTATGTATTTTCTTGATTCACATGAAAGCCACCACTTCCATATGTTGATATACCACATTTAGTTTACAAATATTCAGTCCCATATGGACTTTTCCCCTCTATCTCATGGTACAAACAAAGCTAATCTTCCCAAGCAGTGCTTAGAAGTGACATCTTTCAGCTTGCACTGACTGCTTTCAAATACCACAGTATGTGCCAGGGCAGTAAAATTACCAGTTTCAGGCTTTAAATGACTGGGACCTGTCTGCAAAGTCTTTCAGTCTCCAACTATAACGTTTCATTTCCTTGCTGATCTGCTTATTGATAACCACAGATTACACATATCCTGTCTCTTTCTAAAGATGTTGAAACTGAATTCAGTTGTCCCATTATACCATATAGAAGGATATTCCTGTAGGCATTCAGTCTTTTTTTGTGTTGGGTCCAAGAGGTGTAAATAACTATATCCTCCTTGCAGGAGGGAGATAGAAAGGAAACCAGTTGCACAGCTTTCATGTGAAATTCTTAATCCACAGATTCTTAGTAGTTCCTTTCCTAGGCAACCTGTAGCTATAATCATATAGCCTTAATTTCCAAACTTTGACCTGACTAACGACTGAAAAACTTAAAAAGTTTTTGGGTCACAATAACCCTTCTGAAATTAGTGACATTTTGAAATGGCCTAGGTGATTTAGGTGTTTGAGTTTTCATTTTCTTTTAGAAGGCACTTTATGCACTACTTGGAAAATGCTTCTTGATCTGCTTACCAGTTTTTCCTTTTAACATTCACAGGCTGTCCAAATCTGTGTCTTTCTCCCAGTCATCTTAATCTACTTCATTCCCTTTCTCAGTCTTTTAAGGCACCTCGGTCCTTAGTTCATTTCCTCACCAATTTTAAACTCCCTGGTTCCTCAGTGTCATTTCCTTCCTAAAAAACTTTAGTTCTTAGGTTCTTCTCCTTGTCCTCACCAGGTAAGTCTGGATGCCTCAATTATTTTTCCAACATATCATTGACTGCCTTGTGATGTTGCTTCTGTAACATAAGGATGCCTGAGCATTTCTCTAGCTTTCTCTGCTAGGTTTTCTTTGACTACTAAAGATTTTGCATGGTCTTATCTTTGAGTCAGTGTGCTGTTAGATCTGTGGCTTTCTTAATGCTAGGCACATTTCAGATCTCTGTTAGTATGAAAAGAGCAGTTGACTCAACTGAGATTGCCACACCATGCTGAGATCTTAATAGTTTTAGCAAAAGCAATGTGATGATGGGGACTGACTTGTGTAAGAGAGAGTTAGTTTTAGTTCAGTGCACATATAGGAGAAGGACCTAGCTTGTCTCTCAGTTGGTTGCAGGCAGTGGTTCAATAAATATGATTAATAATGATACTTTATTGTATGAAATCTAATACCTTTTCTTTTCCAACACATTATATGAAAAACTGACTTGTGAATTTTATCACTGTATTTAATTGATAAGCATGGCAGGAATACTGATCATAAAACAGCAGGCTATAGCCTCTGAGGTCCCTGTGAATTATATTAATGAATTATGAGACATATGAATTATGTTCTCTTTTAAAATTTGTTATACATTATAACTCTAATTATATTTGGAATTGAAAAACAAACATACACACACACACAAAAAAAAAACAACCACCCAAACCAACCTCAAACAAAAATACATATAAAATAAGATTTCTTTTTTTAAGTGCACAATATTTATTTTCATTTTCTTGTCCTGAAATCAATTGGAAAATTCCTATTGACTGGAATAGAAGTGGAGATTTTTGTAGCACTGAATGCATTTGAAAACTCTATTACTCATGTCTCTCTTTTGAGTGTTAAGGAAAAAGTCTAGGAATGCTAAGAGCTGAGGATGTGGTTGTGTCATCTTCATCTGATGTGGAAGGGGTTTCTTTTAAGTGGATGGAAGATTAAGTGTATCTTTGTGGCACTGGATTTACTGCAAATTGTAAGGTTATTAATTAAATGGCCAAGGCTTCTTAATGATGTGTGCACAGAGAATTATAGCTTCATCAGGTTGTTCTATTCTGGGTCTGAACTGTAATGCATCCTCACTTTGAGATGGGTAATTGCCAGCCTAAGTTTGGTTATGCTAGAAAACTTGAAACTTTCATGATTTCTATAGGCCTAACTGTTCTCATAGGGTTATTTTGCTGTAGCTGAATAGCGGAAGCAAGGACAGATTGTATTAAATTAAGAGGGCTTTCGTAGAAGGTGAGAAGAGGGAAGCTTTGTGGCATTGCTAATTTGATTGTTGATCTTTCTTTTCTTAAGGAATCAGGACTAGAACACAGGGAAGGGTCCAGCTATGATAAAACTAGTTCAAAAAGTTCTCAGCTTATGGCATGCATTTGTGAACAAACAGTGGAGTTAACATACCTTCAAATTCACTCCCAAATTTTAAAACGTGGACATTCCATTCTTCCTGTGGCTGCTCTAATCCTTGTTTCTGGTTATTGGTCATTTCCTCTGACTGCAACAGGTGCCCCTCCTCATTCTTGTTGAGCCAGAAGGTTTGTGCAATTACTGTCACACATAAGGTTCTCTTTGATCTAAATTATCCCTCTTTACATTTACCTCACACCTGCCTCTGCCCTGGGGACATACCAAGCACTAAACCTCAGAGATGCATCTTTTCCCATATACCCCAGTGTATGATGCATCCCTCTTCCATCCCACCTGGTTCACCCATAAAGGTGTTAGCAGATGATGTCTGCTGTAGTGCATTGCCTACAGCTGTTCGAGGGAGTTCTAGGGTCAGATGATCTGGTCTAAGTCCTGTATCTAGGGCTACTGAATGGTGGCCTGCTCCTAGGCAAATGCAATGCTTACTACATTTAATAAGAAAACAAGACTCTCAATAGCTAAAATAAGTACATGAATGAAAACAAAAAGAAAAAATGGCAGTCTCTGCCAGTTGCTTTATCTTCCATAGGATCAGTCGAGTCCCCAGCACTTTGTAGTGCTCCCTGGCACAGTTTTGGTAAGAAATGCTTTTATCTTTCTACTTTCTCAATCCCTGGCAAATTACTTGGTGGGGGGAAGTGGGGGAGGGAAGCTACATTCTTGCTTTAGACCAGGCAATTGCCGGTGCAAGTTGGAATTCAGCTTGTTAAGCAATAATACATGAGAAATAATTTCAGTAAGAGAAGCGAAAGAATGAATACTACTCAAATTCATTTGTGAAATATATCTAAAAAATACCATTAGGTACAATTCCCTTTGCTTAATATAAATACAACTCTGCCTAAGCCTTCAGCAGGTCTGTAGCCATGGCATTTAATTGCCAGCTGTCTTTAAACCTTGAGCAGGTCAGCAGAGACACAACGCTATCAGAGAGATTTTGTCATTTATGTATTATCATGGAGTGATATATAATGTCTTGCTGAGAAGGGTCCTTGTGGGTGTCAAATACTGCTGCTGCCTGTAATGGAAACAAAGGAAAAAAATAAAAGGCTGGCGAATAGATGTTTCTGTAAATGTAACTTTTAGTTTGCAAGCAACCTTGAGGCTAAAAGATAATTCCACCTCTGCTGGGGGGCAGTAATGGGGTGGCAGGTGAACAGTTCAAGCTCTGTGTTATTTATTGATTGAAAGCAACTCCCAGCATGTGTGCTGCTTCTGAAATTTATTGAAGCCAATTGAACATATAGTGTGTGATATACACAGACTTGCTCTCTTCTTCCCTTTCCTCATTTCAATTTTTAAGTGCTTCCTAGAGACAGATATAGAACCAGTCATCATGTCTGGCATGTGGTGTGCATTCAGGGCTGAAGCCAAAACCTATTGAAATCATTGGTTGTCTTTCAATTGACTTCAACTGGCTTTGGCTCAAGACTTCAAGATGAAAGAAAAAAAAAAAGGTGTATGTGTTTCTAAAAGAGCTGACATAAACCAAAACCTTGCTTAAACTCTAAAAATAAGTG